CAAGCTCAAATACACCAACTAGAAGACGGTCTCACACTGAGCTCGATTTCTTTACCTGGACCTCTCATTATAACCTAATATTTCATCCCACCCTGGAGATGTAGACAGCTCTCTCGTTAACCCAAGGGCAGCTGGGCCAACCTTACGAATGCTTTGCCAACTTCTAATTAACGATGATTAAATGGTGTTTACTGTGTGAGTTAATCTGATGCGACATGACGCAGGTTGTCCAAACACTCTGCCACGGCATGAGCATAAACCCCTCAACCCCACTGAAGTGACACATTGCTTCCCGTCTCTCTGTTTGCTAATGTCAGAGCGCAGCTATTCCTTTGCTGCTTTTTTCTCTCCTCATGAATGATATTCTCTATTTTTATCTCCCCTGCTGCTCTCTCACAGCGGACCTGAACAATATCAAGTTCTCTGCATACCGGACGGCCATGAAGCTGAGGCATGTGCAGAAGGCTTTAAGATGTATGTAAAAAGAAGCACCCACACTGGTTTGCCTTTTTCCCTCTACTAAGTCATCGATTATTCGCGAAATTTCGTATACAGAGCTGGCCCTGGTCTTTTTCATTAAAGCCCAGTGATTTTTATGCAGCTTAATTAAGCCTAATAATTGGTGTGATTGTACTTCTTCGGGGGAGGTAATTAAGAAGTCTGCGTGAGGAATTAACCACTGTTCCCCCTGCGACATGCTTTGCGGGTGGAGGTTTATCTGCCAATGTCCAGACAGGAGTTTTCTCTCGTTGGCAGTTCCCTTCTTTTCTTCAGCCTCTTCACTGTGCACATAATATAAATATAAATGTGTCCGTGTAGGTTGGTTTTACACTTTCAAGATCCATTCAAAAATAACATGGCACTGAAAAAAATCTGTTATAATACAATGAAATATTTGTGATTTATGTGTTGCTTGCAAAATATTTTATTTGCTCAGAATACACAGCTACCCCTGAATGTCCATCAACCGTAAAATATGCTTTTTGCAGGAAACTGATGTAGCTGTATAACATCTAGTCAAACTTTGACTCCTCTGTGGAGAGCTTTGAACCCACTGGGTTATTCTATAAAACTGGTGCCTTTCCCCTTTTGATAAGCTGATTTAATCAAATAATCAAGTAAAATTGTCTTTTTCAGCTATTACTGAAATGCATTGTACCATCTCAAGCTAAACACACACACACACACACACACACACAAACACACACATACACACATATAGAACATAATTATGTCTACAGAATGTTTACAGGTTGATGGTTTTACAGTTTAAAACTAGGTGCTTGTTTTCTACAAATTTTCTTCAAGGTAACAGGTTTAAGGTTTTCCTCAACTGACAAATGTCAAAACAAATGATAAAGTGATAGAGGAGACTTGTCCTTGAAAAGTTCACATCTTTAAAGCATAATGCCATGTACAAAATATAAAAGAAATCTCAGAATTTAAAATTAGTTAACGTAGTTAACGTTAACAAAAATATAACACACACACACGCACTATATGGAGAAAGAGAGAAACAATTCCTTGTTTTCCTTGTTTTTGTAAATGTTTAGAAATATGTCTGTAATAACAGTAGAAGTTCAGCATCAGCTGTTATTTATTTATTTGTTTATGTATTTATTTATTTATTTTTTACACATATGTGCATGAAGCAAAACAGATGGCACCTGTTTTGTAGAATCATCCTCATGGAGAAAACATGTTCAGGGCTTCATAAGCAGGTTGAATCCACTACTGAGTATGGCATGTGCATTTTGATGTCTCTCAGGACAAGTTACTGCTGGCTTGTTTCTGTCTCTCTCTCTCTCTCTCTCTCTCTCTCTCTCTCTCACTCACAGACACGCACACACACACACACACACACACCCACACACACTCCTGGTTTGCTAGTTCATGTCATTAAAGGCACATTATGTAATTTTCGCCGCTGGATGGCGTGTATTCAAAATAAACAAATAGACAAAAGGTGTAGTTTGATGACGCCGTGACTGAGTGTGGAATCATGGGAGATGTCGTCTTCATCCCCACAGCCGATGCAATTCGATGGGACTTGGGCAGAAATCATGTTCATGGATGAGCTAATGATTTATTAACGTAGTAGAATGAAGCAGAGTGTGGCTGAAAGCCGTCGAAGCGAAACGAGGCCACTGAACGAGCGCGACACACGGCTCGAAAGCAGCAGAGCTTTTATTATGCCACAGTCGACCGCTTCC